CAATATATTCCCATAAATCTCCCTACCCACGTGAAGCATAAGAGTGAGGTGGTATGACCCCCAACACCGCCTGCCTGAAGAACGACTCGGCCAGCACCTCAGTTTAGGGTACGGTACGTCCCACACACCACAACGAGGGTGTTTTATGTCAGACAAACTTGGCTGTGGCGTTTGTTGTTTATTTCTTGTGGGATATGAATAACCGGTTACAGTCCACCTCGGCCCATTACCAACTCGGCCCACATCCAACTCGGCCCAGCTCGGATAACCAACTCGGACTTCTTAGGTTAAAGAACTCGGACTAAAAAGTAAAAGTTTACACATTTTTGCGTGAATGATAAAGATGCAATAATACAAGCAGCATAGATTAAAAGGAGGAAATTGATTTGTTATTATTTATCTTTCCATTCTATCTTATTAATATATCAATGTACATGTGTGGAAGAGATGATCCTTTCTCTTTTATTTATACAATTTATTTTATATTTATTTCACAATTAAGATCGCTTTACCTGGAGGCCTGACAACGACAAATATATCGGTAGAGGATGACCTGATCACTAGAGCTGAGGTTGATGAGTTCCACGACAATGTAAATAATGAGTTACTTAAAGGCAGAACATACCATACAGAAAACTCAGATCAAACAACAATGACCCTAAATGGATAAATAATTATTTAAGGAATATTATTGGACAAAGGAAGGCTATAGGTAGGAGAATAAATCGGGGTGAAGTTTACCTCCGAGATTATTATAAGGAATTGGCCGGTAGGGTTAAGACCGAGATAAGGAAAGAGGAATAATGAACTGAAGATAGCAAGGGAGGCGAAGTCAAACCCCAAGGGATTCTATCAAATGTATCAAACAAAACACGAGAAAAGATTGGACCAATACAGTCAGATACCGGCGAGCTGACTGATAACGACGGAGAAATGAGGATAGTGAATGTAATACCTATTTCAAGAAGGGAGATAGATCACTATCCTCTAACTACCGTCCAATCAGTCTAACATCAATTGTAGGCAAATTACTGGAAGCAATAATTTCAAACCCTATTCAAAATCACCCAGAGAAGCACAAGTTATGAAAGTGAATCATGGTTCATTGATCAAGTTCTACTATCATAATCTCATAAAATTCGTCCTTCACACCGTCTCAACCATCAGTGTTCACTCTTTGTATTTCAGTGAACCAAAAGACTTAAACCAAATCTCACTCATTCCTGAACCTCTAGTCGGCTACTTGTTTGAAGTGTGCAAGGTGGGCCGAGTTGGTAATGTGTGGGCCGAGTTGGTTATTTAAGATGGACCAAGGTCGAGGTACACCGTATGAACCAAATCTACCCTAGGCCTTGAGAAACCTGCTTAAATAAATAAGTTTAGTTGCTCATTTGACATTTTTCCTAACATATAGAGGGAAATTTTACACACAAATTTAAGTTAATAATCAATAATTTGTTCTCATATTAACCAGAAACGATTAAAATAAATTATTAACTTCCTCCGCACCTCAAGAATATCCCCAAAAAATGGCAGAGTACGATTAGAATTTTCCGTGGATCTGTTTTTCCAGAGTATTTACTGTAGATTAATATTTTCAATCCTCATGGCACCACCACATTGCCCGTTATTGGGATATTACACCAATGGGAACACACAGCGATCGTTCCAAGAAAACATCCAGCGGTTTAGACTACAAGACTTCACTATCAGATCAGGTATAGCATCTAAACCTTACCTGTCCTGAATAAGATGGAAGTACAGCACAGTCCAGTCACCCCTTCTGAACCACCAACCCTGAGATTCGAACCCGTGATCCCGAAGCATTTACGGACAGAATAATGCATCAGTCTAAGGCTTCGGGTTCACTAGTATGAATCTCGGGGTTCGTAGTTCGGGAGAAGAGGCTACAGCACTCTTGTGGATGACTGTACTGTAAGTTATGGTTAGGTGAGGTTAGGTTAGGTTGATAAAAATAGGGTTATGTAAGATCAAAATCACCCAAAATAAGTTAAATACCGTTCAAAAAACACAAGATGACAAACTATATATTTTACCGAAAAAATAATAATGCAAACCCAACGCCTGTTTTGAGATATTCTTGACATAAGGAAGAAGTGACCTCAGTGGAACATTTCTTTACAGCTACTGGTGAACCTGGGACCATTTAATGTATTACCAGAATAAGTCCGGGTTTATTTTTTCGGTGATATGAACGAACAAGACTTATCGAGCAAATCGTAAATAAGACCGCATATGTGGCTGTAAGGGCGGAAACGATCTTCCTGCTCGTTACCGCATTTCACTCGCTCGTTTGCTGGCGCGATGGGGGGGGGGGCTTAGACGGAGGTGAGAACGTCGCTGCTACACGTGCCACCGGCAGATTCACACCAGCCGTCAGTACAGTGATCTCATCAAGGCTCGGGACTCGTGGGCTGTGTCCCCAAACCTTCACCTATCGACTGTCAATCCTCTGGCCACCATACCATGACCGCCAGTTCATCTCCCCCGTCTGTGCCCCGGTGTTCTCCTGCCATATCAAGACATCGGCCGCTGTCGCTCGAGTGAGGACCATCCCCCTGAGAGTGGATCATTGAGTTCCAGAACCTTCCCCAGGGCTGCTGCCATTGGAAATATCTGTTCATTGTTTGATTCCATTAATTGCTGACTCCCTTTTATTTGATTCATCAGTTGTTGACTCCCATTAATTGTTTGAATCCATTAATTGTTGGACTTCCATTAACTGTTGACTGCATTAATTGTTTGACTCCCGTAATTGTTTTCATGTTTGTTGAGTGGTGTCCATCTCACACGGTTGTTTGTTATTCCTCAGAAAACCCTGGTCCTTGACTTTCCTTTTTTAAGAACCTCATTAGGCTGGTAAGGGATTTTTATCACCAAGTCCCAGGCCTTTACAAGTGGCTCAACGGGTATTATTTTTGTTTGTCATCTGGGGAATTGGTTAAGTTAGGTTCTGGTAAGGCAAAGTAGGTTAGGTTATTGTTAGGTTAGACTTTGGTTTGGTTAGGTTATGGTTAGGTTAAGTTAGTTTGGATATCTTAAATACAAGGATGACTAGAAACTAAAATTTGACCACAAGTTCTATATTAATCCTCCCCAACTTAACTCCTTAAGGCAGGACAATGTTGCAGACTGTCACCAAATGACTCAGTGGCGTCCATTATTTATTATACCAAGTTACTTATCCGGTGGTTGACCTTCATCACTGCCGTGTATCTGACCTTCACTCTCATTAGTAATGACTGTTGACCTAGAGTACTGCCTTCTGACACTAGTAAACATTAGGTTAGGTTAAGGTTAGGTTATGATGGGTTGTGTTAGGTTATGATGGGTCAGGTTACGGTGGTTAGGTTATGATGGGTTAGGTTAAGGTTAGGTTATGATGGGTTAGGTTAGGTTAAGGTTAGGTTATGATGAACATAAGAACATAAGAATGGGGGAAACTGCAGCGGGCCTATTGGCCCATACTGGGCAGTCCCGTTTACACCCAACCCCTATTGCTCATATGAGCATCCAACCTATGTTTGAAGCAATTCAGCGTATTAGAGTTAATGATGATGTTTGGTAACTTGTTCCATTCATCCACTACTCTGTTTCCAAACTAGTGTTTACCTATTTCACGCCTAAATCTAAATTTGTCTAATTTAAAACCATTGTTACGAGTTCGCTCCTGGTTGATAATTTGAGTACCTTTTGTAATGTCCCCTTTGTTTAGCCCTGCCTTCCACTTATACACCTCTATCAGGTCGCCCCTCGCTCTACGTCTCTCAAGGGAGTGCAAATTAAGATGCTTTAACCTGTCTCTGTACTCAAGGTTCCTAATGCCCGGGATTAGTCTTGTCATTCTCCTCTGAATTCTTTCCAAGGATTCTATATCCATTCTGTAATACGGTGACCAGAACTGAACTGCGTAATCCAGGTGTGGTCTCACAAGAGCAAGATACAGTTTTAGGATGACCTCGCTAGTCTTGTAACTAACACTCCTTTGTATGAACCCAAGTACTTTATTAGCCTTGTTACGAGCAAAAACACATTGTTTACTTGGCTTAAGGTTCCTACTTATCATTACTCCTAAATCTCTCTCGCAGTCGGATTTCTCTATGGCATCGTTGTTCATCTGGTATCTGGTTTCCCTGTTTACATCTCCTATACTGAGTACTTTACATTTGTCGACATTGAATTTCATCTGCCATTTTTCAGACCATTCGAAAAATGGGTTGTGTTAGGTTATGATGGGTCAGGTTACAGGGGGTTAGGTTATGATGGGTTGGGTTAGGTTATGATGGGTTAGGTTAGGTTAAGATTAGGTTATGATGGGTTAGGTTAGGTTATGATGGGTTAGGTTAGGTTTTTGATGCGTTTTGATCGATTCTGACTCTACCCCAATAACCACTACACTCGGCGATATTGAACCGGTAATGACATAACCAACCAATTAGCTCCCGTTATGACAGAACCACCCTAACTTATACACAACCCCATAACTGTTAAATTACCTCAAAAAAAACAAATAAAAATAAAACAATTCAAAACCAAAATCTCATATTATATAAGATAATTAAAATAAAAAAACATTCACCTCGTTACATGAATAGAATAAAAAATAATAAAATACCTACCAATAATTAATCATTTATCTATAATTAATTCCCCAGGTTAATAAAAACATAAAAAATATATTAAATACAACAGGCCATCTTGGGTTACTCCCTTCATCAATATCTCCCTCATTAATCCTTCCTCCAACACTACCCACCAACATACTATAAAACACAATCAAATATAATACAAATATAATAATAAAACCCCAAAAAAACACAGATAAATCGTTAAATATAATAAAAAAATCAATACTCAACACATTGTAGGGGGTCTAAGGTGGCTGCTGGTGCTGCCTCACTCCCACCTCACATATATCCATCACTTTCACCCATATCTCCTCCTTATTACACCTTCACTATTAATTAAATATATTCTACCTGTTGCACTGATTGTTGAACTACCGTGTCCGGGGATTGTGATTCGCGTAGTAATCCTAAAATCTGGGTTAAAGCATCAGTGTCTGGATTCCACCCCATGTTTAGGGCCGGTGAGGGAGGCTCTAGGGGGTCAACTCAGCCTCTATCATACCAAATGGGAACAACATAATTAAAATATAAAACCCATCTCTTCCCTCATATCTATTAATTTATTTATATATCACTACAAATATCCTTATATAAAAACTATATTATATAATTATTTATTGTGTGTATTAAATAATCGATGAAATACGGAAGCGTTTGATCTATCCTTAGTCTTCATTTGATTAGAGAGTTATTTTGTATACTGGTTTGCTATTGGTTGCTTCGAACACGCACATTCTGACATGGACCAATCAGAGAGCTCGTACTATGGTTGTGTTGGAGGATCGGTCGCCTCGGTCTGATGGAGGTAAATAAACAGGTGTACCATTACCTTAAAACACCTAATAAACACAAATTACCTCAACTACAACCATATATATTAACTTATTAACACCTAACTATAATTATATGGGTTTATGTTAATTAATAATAGAGGTTAATAGGAGTAAAATACACCAGATGTTATAATATCGGTAGTTATGTCTAAGATGGGGCCACGTGCTTTACCCTCAGGCCGTTAGGTCTTGTTTTACCTTTTATTCATTGTTAATCCTCATCTATTATTCATTATTTACAAACTTATTCATTAAAAATATTCCTATTAACTCAAATATCACCAATAAAAACGCTATCATTAATTCTCTACGCCTTAAAATACACTAAACTATCACACATCATAAACCCCGATTCAAATACCATAGAAGACGCCATTATCACACCTATACATTATTATACAAAAAATATACGTATAAAAACACTTATATTAATATATATAAGATAAATTAAAGTGACGTACATATATAAAATGGTTTAGAAATATACTAACAATAATACTTGGTTAGAGAGCGTCCGTCAGCCAGTTTGTGATTGGTTAAACATTATGACGTCATGGTGGGGAAATAATGGCAATAATACATTAAATTAACGATAAAAATTCTATTTAGTAGACATAGACATAGTAATAAAATTCAACCAATCAGGGAGCCCAATCAACCAAAGAGATGTGACGTAATATATACTGTACACCAACCAATCAGGGAGCTCAATCTACCAAAGAGATGTGACGTCATATACTGTACACCAACCAATCAGGGAGCTCAATCTACCAAAGAGATGTGACGTCATATACTGTATACCAACCAATCAGGGAGCCCAATCTACCAAAGAGATGACGTAATATATACTGTACACCAACCAATCAGGGAGCTCAATCTACCAAAGAAATGTGACGTCATATACTGTACACCAACCAATCAGGAGCTCAATTAACAAAAGAGATGACGTCATATACTGTAAACCAAATCCAATCAGGAGCTCAATCTACCAAAGAGATGTGACGTCATATACTGTACACCAACCAATCAGGGAGCTTAATCTACCAAAGAGATGTGACGTCATATACTGTACACCAACCAAATCAGGGAGCTCAATCTACCAAAGAGATGTGACGTCATATACTGTACACCAACCAATCAGGGAGCTTAATCTACCAAAGAGATGTGACGTCATATACTGTACACCAACCAAATCAGGGAGCTCAATCTACCAAAGAGATGTGACGTCATATACTGTACACCAACCAATCAGGGAGCTCAATCTACCAAAGAGATGTGACGTCATATACTGTACACCAACCAATCAGGGAGCTCAATCTACCAAAGAGATGTGACGTCATATACTGTACACCAACCAATCAAGGAGCTCAATCTACCAAAGAGATGTGACGTCATATACTGTACACCAACCAATCATGAGCCTTAATCTACTAAAGAGGATGTGACGTCATATACCGGGTACACCAACCAAATCAGGAGCCTTAATCTACCAAAAGAGATGTGACGTCATATACTGTACACCAACCAATCAGGGAGCTCAATCTACCAAAGAGATGTGACGTCATATACTGTACACCAACCAATCAGGGAGCTCAATCTACCAAAGAGATGTGACGTCATATACTGTACACCAACCAATCAGGGAGCTCAATCTACCAAAGAGATGTGACGTCATATACTGTAAACCAACCAATCAGGGAGCTCAATCTACCAAAGAGATGTGACGTCATATACTGTACACCAACCAATCAGGGAGCTCAATCTACCAAAGAGATGTGACGTCATATACTGTATACCAACCAATCAGGGAGCCCAATCTACCAAAGAGATGACGTAATATATACTGTACACCAACCAATCAGGGAGCTCAATCTACCAAAGAGATGTGACGTCATATACAGTACACGAACCAAATCAGGGGCTCAATCTACCAAAGAGATGTGACGTCATATACTGTACACACCAACCAATCAGGGAGCTCAATCTACCAAAGAGAGGGACGTCATATACTGTACACCAACCAATCAAGGAGCTCAATCTACCAAAGAGATGTGTACACCAACCAATCAGTCATAAAGAGATGTGACTGTACACCAACCAATCAGAGCTCAATCTACCAAAGAGATGTGACGTCATATACTGTACACCAACCAATCAGGGAGCTCAATCTGTACCAAAGAGATGTGACGTCATATACTGTACACCAAAGAGATGTGAATCAGGGAGCTCAATCTACCAAAGAGATGTGACGTCATATACTGTACACCAACCAATCAGAGAGCTCAATCTACCAAAGAGATGTGACGTCATATACTGTACACCAACCAATCATGTGAGATAGTCTTTTTCTCTCTCTTGCTTTATCTTTCTCTGTATCTTTGTCTCTTTCTCTATTTTCTCTCTTTTCTCTCTTTCTCTTTCTCTCATGTTTACTCATTTTCTCTGGCGTTTATTTTCACTGGCGTTCATCTTTACTGGCGTTCACCCACACACACACGCGTACACACCACACACGAAAGCAAACACACACACACACACGCAAAAACAGACACAAATATTTCGACACACACACACACACACACAAGGCTGTATCAGTGCTGCCAACGAGAGAACAAGTATATCAGTGTCTACCCAACTCAATCATCCTTGGCAACACTGTCTTGGCCTAACATCCGTGTGTTTGTTTGTTTGTTTTAAGACGCCACACACACACAAACAAACAGAGCCGAGGGAGAGAGGGGGGGGGGAAGAGAGAGAGGAAGGGAGGATAAAGTCAGTAAGGGAGATTAGTAAGCTAGTAAGGGAGAGAGAGAAAGAGAGAGAGAGAGATTGTAAGTTTCCAGGCAAGAGACGGAATACAGAACAAACTCAGAATAATAAATAATATAAAAAATAATAAATAAACCAATGAATAAGATAATGAACAATAAAACACCAGAAATAACAATAAAACACTGAAACAAATCACAGAGCTTCACTCCCTTGTTCACATTCAGTAGGCGTCTTTATCAGCATTTCAAAACACATCGATATTAATTCAATTTTATCTATATTAATCTAGATGATAATTGGTAGAAAATATCCCAAATAAAGAAGAGAATAAGTATTAATGAAGACTTGTGGTGGAAGGGGTATCAACACAAGAGGTAGATGACGCCCCTCTCTCCCACCTAACACAAAGGGCTGCTAAGGACTGCTGGATTGTTTTCGAGTTATATAAGATAAGATAACGAGGTTTGGTAGGAATACAGTATTAAAATCTACCTCAGACAGCCCCAGCATTCTTATACACAGTAATTCATCGTGAAATATAGATTGGAGTGAGGGAGAGAGAGTGAGTGAGGGAGAGAGAGTGAGGGAGGGAGAGAGAGAGAGAGATTTCTTGATAACCTTGGCCAATGGGAATAGTGGATGAGTGAATACTGTCTTCGCTTCCTATCTTAAGGGACGTTAGTTCGATCTCAGGGTAGAGTGATGTGAGGAGTGAGGGGGTCAGAGAGAGTGAGATAGAGAGATAGATTGAGAGAGATTTTTTTTAGATTGCCCCCGAGGGAGCTAGTTTATTGGGCACCCCCTTACATCCTGTGCAAGGTGAAGCTCAAAAGCATTTACAGCGCCCATCTGGGAAGCATGCGGAGTTCATGCTTGCCTTCATGACTCGTGCATTAAGGGCGTAAAAGCCTGAAGGGTCATTGGTTTTGTCAGCAAGTTACATAAAGTGAGAGAATGATGAGTGTGTGGGGGGGAAAGTTCCCGGTACATTTCATCTGTTTATGGCAAAGCGTGGCAGGTCCCTAATAATGTCAAGTGCCAGGCCTGTGACTAGGAGGAGGGATATCTGGTCTGGGAGGGAAGAGGTGTTGGTAACGGCTGGGGACCTGTAGGAGGAGGTCATAGGGCAAGTGAGGATGTAGTGAGAGAGGGCGGGGTGAGGTGGTGGTGAGCTGATGAGTCGGTGTGACCTTCCATGACAACTTTATTGAATACAAATCTCTCTTTCTCTCTCCCTCTTTATCCCCGTCTCTATATCTACAGTATTTGCTCTGTGTTAGGATTGTCAAGTCTAGAAAAGTAAAAAAATAAATATGAAACTTTACAGAATCACGATCCTAACCAATAAAAGATGACAATTAAACCCTATTGATCTTTCCCTGTAAGTATAAGAATATCAAAACCTTTAGTAGAGTCTGGGTGAAATTTAGAAGCCATTTTGTCATTAGCTATATCATATTACGACTTTTTTTTTAAATAAACTGATGTACAGTATGTTGTTTGTGAGTGAATCCTACACGTTAGCTTAGTTACCTCACCAACTCAAGTAGCAATTTCGTTATGTTTTATCATCAATTTCTTTATTAGTTACGATATCTTTCGTTTCTAGTTACGAGGAAATATTAAACTAAGAGTCTTTGAGAATATATCCCCCTGGGAGATATGTGTACAACCGATGTATTGTTAAGTTGTATATACACATGGAGTCACTGGTTAAACTGGTATAGTATCCCCCTCACATGCCAGTATACTTCGAGAGAAAATAGAACAGTGTGGCCTTTGTGTGTTTGTGTAGTCGAGATAAAGTATATCTTACATCCACCCACCCAGAGTGTGAGAGCGCGTCTGCCACCCACCCAGAGAGAGAGTGAGAGCGTCTGCCACTCCACCCAGAGAGAGAGAGAGCGCGTCTGCCACCCACTCCAGAGAGAGAGTGAGAGCAAGGTCTGCCACCCACCCAGCAGAGAGAGAGTGAGAGCGCGTCTGCCACCCACCCAGAGAGAGGAGGAGCGCTGCCCTGCTTACCCACCCAGAGAGAGTTGGAGCGCGTCCACCCACCCAGAGAGAGAGAGGAGAGAGAGTCTGCCACCCACCCAGAGAGAGAGTGAGAGTGCGTCTGCCAATCACCCAGAGAGAGAGAGAGATAGAGAGTCTAAGCACCCACTCCAGAGGTGAGAGCGCGTCTGCCACCCACCCAGAGTGTGAGAGCGCGTCTGCCACACACCCAGATAAAGAGAGTCTGCTACCCACTCAGAGAAAGAGAGAGAGTCTACCACCCACATAGAAAGTGTGTGTACAGTATGAGAGAGTGAGGGAGAGTGTGCGTGCATAAAGGAATGAAAGAATGAGAGAATGAGAGAGAGAAAAAGGAAGAACAAAGAGAAAGAGACAGACAGACAGCCATTCCCTCAACCAAGCAGTACTTCACAGGGTAAGAGGCTCCTCATAGTACTTACAGTCTTAATAAATCATTGGCCAAAACACCAACTTATCGTCCGCCATAACCCAACACTCCAATTCTGTTTAAGCTGGATGATTAGAGACCCCCACCTACCTAATCCTTATCCAATCCTGTTCAAGCTGGATGATTAGAAACCCCACCTACCTAACCCTTATCCAATCCTGTTGAAGCTGGATGATTAGAAACCCCACCTACCTAACCCTTATCCAATCCTGTTGAAGCTGGATGATTAGAAACCCCACCTACCTAACCCTTATCCAATCCTGTTGAAGCTGGATGATTAGAGACCCCCCACCTACCTAACCCTTATCCAATCCTGTTCAAGCTGGATGATTGGACCCCCGCCTTCCAATCTTTATGGCCTAATTCATCCTAAACTAATGATTTGAATTGGGTCACAGTCCTCACTTTGCTAATGATTAGGAGTTTGGTCCAGTAATTATGGAGGCTAAATTTACCTAATCTAACTTAAACTAAATTAATCTAACCTAAATTATGGGGTTGAATCATCATACTCAAGGGGTTAAGACTACTATAATTACCTCATTTATGATGTATTAAAAAAATCTAATTAACCAATTTAAACCACAACTACTATCGTGTACAAAAATAAAACTAAGTTAGAAGCCTAAGTTATGATACCTTACAGAACATTAACTAAAGCAACCCTGTATTAACTTAGCTTTATATGGTATTAACTTATCAGATTAAGTTAAGAGTCTGGGTGTATTCTTGAGGCGATATTTAGACTCCATTTTGGTGTTGTAATCAAACTAGTTAAGTGGAATCCTTCATCTCTAATTACAAGGAACATTAATCATAGGAGCACTTATCTTTTGCCTTCACCCCAACCATCCCCCACATAAGGCCAGACCAACACCTCAAATTTGTCCCAAACAACCTTCAGTTCTTGTAGATTTTTTTCAACCAATTGACAGTCCCTGGCATATCTCATGGAGCAGACGGGGTGACAGTACTCTAGATGGGGAAGCACTTCACTCTTGTTGATCATTACGTGGGAAGGATTGTCTAAATATCTGAATGACCTTCTTATAAGACCTATGCATTGTTAGGTTAGGAAGGGCACACTATGACAACCAAGGCAATTTACTAGTACAGTGCATCATAAAAAAAACACCCCATACTGTAGAATTTTTTATTATCAAATTGTCAAATGCCCAATATCACAAATTAACCCCCATTTATCTACAAACTTACAATATATACAATTACACAAATAACTTACAGTAGCTACAAATATATTATGTATCACCTTTGTATCTGACCACAAGCAGCTACAGTAGAGAAGTTAACTATGGAGAGACAGGTGGAGTGTAAACCATTGTTACACTCCGTCATAACTACATAATCACCTCACTATAGGATGATTAACACTTGTTTCTCACACTACCGAGACAAACTAATACCTTAAGATGATCATTAAAAAACCCTGTCAAGTTTGTATCTTAATTATGTATACAGTATTATACAGTATACATAAACCTGAATCTTAATTATCTATACAGTATACATAAACCTGTACAGTATAAATGATCTTGTGTTTATTACGATACATTTTATACATGACACAGTTCTCGGGACGTTGGCAAGTTTATTGAGGTCTTCCTAAATGATGAATGTTTATAAATAATTAAACTTGAATAAACATTACCTCATTTAAAAACCCGAACTAACATCTTTAAAAATAAAATACTAATAATAATAATAATAATAAAATACTACTACTACTACTACTAATAATAATAATATGCTGCTAATTGAACTAACTTACAAAACCATTAATAATACAAGTATATCAAGGTATTTTAATGAGAATATTGCATAGTACAATAGTTGTTTAACAGGGAGGTGTGTAAGAATGGACTCAGAATGGACTAAAAATAACAAGGGGTGGTAGAGTGTAAGAATGGACTCAGAGAGGACCAAGCGTTGAGTACTATCATCATTAATTAAACTCACGTTACGAGATTTAATTGTGAGTCTTCCCCATTAACCATCAGATCTGGGGTCTATTAAGGTCTGGGGTCTATTAAGGTCTGGGGTCTATTAAGGTCTGGGGTCTATTAGGACAGGGGTCTATTAACTCTGGGGTCTATTAGGACAGGGATCTATTAACTCTGGGGTCTATTAGGACAGGGATCTATTAACTCTGAGGTCTATTAACTCTGGGGTCTATTAGGACAGGGGTCTATTAACTCTGGGGTCCATTAACTCTGGGGTCTATTAACTCTGCGGTCCATTAACTCTGGGGTCTATTAACTCTGGGGTCCATTAACTCTGGGGTCCATTAACTCTGGGGTCTATTAACTCTGGGGTCCATTAACTCTGGGGTCTATTAGGACAGGGGTCCATTAACTCTGGGGTCTATTCTAATGCACCTTGTTTCACCTTGCATGTAGTATTAAAAAACATATCTACTTCAGTATTATTTTTTCATTAAATAAAACTTTAAAATTTCCTCAAAAAACATATAAGATTTGAGATTATTTTCATGTTTTTAGTGTCCAGTTTTCCTCATATTGTGTACTAGTAATTAATCTGTTTTAACTAATTCCTACAGTGAGCGTTTATTACCGTGAAATAAATAATAACTAATCAAAATCTGTGTTACAATGGTCTTAAAATACCCTTTAATTAATCTCTATTGCTTACTTGTTAAATATATACCAAATGCATCTGTGTACATAATCTCAGTTCATTATGGGAGTAAATAATATGTAATTTGATCTTACATTTTAAACACTGTAAAATAGATCACAAGATTAAACTCTCGCTATATCGGGGAGGAAGGCCAGTCCGATAAAGCCGATTTCCGATATACAGAGACGTTCTGATGTATAATTTACCTGCCTGTCCCTCAGTAACGAAGAGAAATACAATCTCCATCATTATCAACTATGACTTAATATTAATTCCCACAATGTAAACACGTATTAATACATAACGTACTGCTCGTCCCTGGTGCCGTACAGGAAGTAATGCTCGGGAGGAATGAGGGTAAAGGTATGTCAACAAACGCTAACCTATGCCCTTCTTGCTCTCTATACAATGTTCAGGAAATGTATCTGATATTCTCTATAATTTTGTGTATTTATGATTTAGTTTTTTATTGTAGTTATTATTATTTATTTTAAGAGAGTATATCGTTTACCTAGAACTTTTAGAACAAACTATTTTATTTCCCTTGAGGTAAATATACTGTAGCCATATACAAAAATTGCAACACACTCAACACACCCAACATTCCCAACACACTCAACATCCTCAACACACCCAACACACTCTAGCTTCTCATAAGTAATACTCCAGTTGGTACTTGGGTTAGACAGTCTGGCTGATAAGGATGACTTCTATAGACACACACACCTGTTGCCTGTCACATAGTATAGTTGTCCCTGCTAACACTAGCATTATGGTAATTCATCCTCAGGATATTACTCAGTTATGACCATTAAATTTTGGACAATAATTATTAATAAAATAAACAAATAAATAAATAAAGAATAATATTGTAATTTTAATGCCATTTGTTTTAAGATAATTTCAAACGCTTCAAGATAAAATTCTCATATTAAGAAAATAAATAAATATAAAATCCTCGATACTTTTACCCCATAGCTTGTGGACTACTGTAAGCTCTCCTTTAACATTGAGGGGAAGAAGGGGGTTGTCCTCTCAAAAACAGCTTGTCGGGTGAATCCACATTGGCTGAGAACTTACCGTGTTTTTTGATGGGATACAAAATGTTTCTCTCAATCACTCACCCCATAAAGTGTTCATTATATAAAATATTAACAATTCAGCCATTGTTATCTTCTTGAACTGGAAGAAATGTGTTTATTAAGAAATAGAGTCCAACTTCTATGTAATGGATTACATGAGAGTAGTGTGGGCTGTATTGAAGATCATTTTATGTGGGCTTTTATCAAGAGAAATCCTCACGTTTTACATTCAAGAGGCGCGGAGAATGTTCACTGATACTACTGGAATTATCACGAGAGGGGAGGTGGGCGCCCTAAGCAAGCCCTACGTCAAGGATAAATCAACGTTGACTATTAAGATAATGACAAATGTTACAATGCTTCTAGTATAGTCGACAAAAATAATCATCATACATACATGATGAATTTCACTGATGAACAAGGACGGATGTGGCATTTACACATTCACACTTCACCTCCAACATTTTATATCTCACGTTTGTTTACCGAACATCAGAGACGGCCAAATATGAAACCCATTGACGAGTCTGGTGTAAATATAGAGGAAGGTCTTACTATAGAAATGTCCCTTCAGTTTTGTTGATGTGTTTAGACCAACTGTAATCTAACACATGTGTCGACTCACTCGCCTCTAATATAGAAGATACATTTAAAACGTCTATTGTTTTATTGACCATAACTAACATTACAGTAAGGGTTGTTTGACACACTCCAGGATATTTATCTTTAGTTGTCAATATTTTTAATGGTCATATATTAATCCGAAAATAATGAAATATTTCAATACTTGTAGTACATTAGCCTAGGACTCAGTACTGATGTCCATAATGTCCCACAATATTTCTGGGTCCAGTTCTAGATATATCTCATCATTTTGAGTACCTTTCATTTTATACATTTCTGTCGAACCTGAATATAGTAATAGTGAATGTAATAGAACCCGACCTAACCAACCAAAGAAACCTAACGTAACCTTGCCTAACTTCCTAGCCTGGGGGACGGACCCTCGCCATATTAAACAGGAAATACTTATTTTGTTATCTGGCACCAACGAAAGCAACTTTGTTGAAGCGTCATGGGGTAATTTTACATGTTATGTACGCACGAGAGTACACTCGGTCCAAGCAGGTCGGTTGTAACCAAACACCACTCAGTGACTCGACAGACTTTAGACACATTTAAAAATTACCACAAGATTTGCACTTTGTACAGCACAGTATATATGATAATTCTAGTGATTCTTTATATCTTTATTTGGTTTTTACCGGCCACAACTAACAGCTGTTTGTGTACCAACATTCTCTAGTTTCCTATGTTGACAGACCTGGAGTAAGTCCCACGCAAACACCACTATTTGTACCACCTAGAGTATGACCAACAACCATGGCTTGGGCACCGTGAGGAGAGCCCATGTAAAACGATCTTGAATACACCCCGAGAGAGAGAGAGAGAGAGGGTCGTCCGTTCTATATGAAGCCTTTTAACAAACTACAGTATATGTAAGATGTTAGTCAGCCAACTAAAGTCCGTAATATAGAGGTTTCGCTGTATACTAACTCTGGGAGACCTCTATATAATGACATTTAACACATTATAAATTTTAGTGGTCATCATCTGTTAACATAACCTAAGACGATTTATTCAACGTTAAGATATAATATAAAATTCTTCATCGTCTTTCCTGTCTTATAAAAATAATATACAAGGAACTTAAAGATTAGAGCATTGGGTCACCTGAAGAATAGCACCCCAGCTTAATCCACCTGATGATTAAATACCCTGATGTTATCTTAAGCGGTTGGGTTAGGTTAGGTTGGGTTGGGTTAGGTTAGGTTATATTAAAATATATAATAGTATCATCAGGGCGTTTAATAATCAGGTGCAATAAATGGGGTGTTTTATGATCAGGTGAATGTTACTCTGAGGCGACCCTTTGCTGTTACTCTGAGGCGACCCTTTGTTGTTACTCTGAGGCGACCCTTTGCTGTTACTCTGAGGCGACCCTTTGCTGTTATTTTTGAGGCGACTTGTTCATGTTACTGAGGATCTTGTAAGTGTCTCGAGAGAAGATATAACTGATGCCAGAACTGAGGGTAGTAGCCGCTGTCACCCACCTGAAACAGACCATCACATTTACTCTTAGCCGATAGTCCCTCTACTGATTAATCTACTGTGATGAGATGAGTCACATTAAACACATCACCATTAAGTATACACTGCAGGTCTGGTGAACAGGTTAATGTAATGGTTCTTGTGTTGGAAGATAAGCAAGGTAATACATTGATAGAGTAATGACTTGTTGAAATTAGACACCAAATATGTGATGCAGATGTTGTAAGGTTAAGTGGAATGGTGGAGACGATGGGATAGAACCAAGACAATGTAACCAAGAGACTGTTGGTCAAGAGACACATTTCTGGCCCCATCATGGAAAATAAGTTTCAATTATTCAATCGTCCACCTGCAAGGGAACTGTCCACCACAAAGCTGAAGAAAACATCATTAAAAAGTGATTGCGTTTTATTCTCGCAGCTGTTTATTGCTCGTCAGACACTGGATGGTAATGTTGGCGATTTCTTCAAACACGGGAACCAGGTTTACCCATCATCGATATCAAGTAATGGCAGTCTCCGTTTCAGGATAAAGTCTGATCTTCTGTGACGCCTCAAGAAAGGTTGTCACACACACACACACAGTGACAGCCCAGAGACAGATGTTATCATTATCAATGGAGCTGAAACCCAGAGGTGCCAAGACTTTTGACCACTACACAGTGAAGGTGTTTCTTCCTACGTCAACAGACATTGTGTGGTAGAGGGAGCAACGTGGAAAAGGCATCAGAATAAGAGTGAGAGGGTCAACAGCCCCCAGCCAACAAACTAGCGGCAGTTTCTTCGGGTGAGAGAAAACGAGCCAGGATTCTGCCTTTCTCACAAGACATGTTGGATAGACTGTGGCAGGTTACAACATGTACACCCAAGGTTTTGTGCAACTTTCCACACGATACAAGTCAGCTTGTTCCCTGCAACCACGAACAAGCAGATACCCGTCTGCTTCTACATGCAGCTGATTCCATGAACCAAGGATTTCAGAAAATTACACCATAAACATTAGATACTGATGTACTAGTAGTGGTCTTTGTGTCTGTCCCTACAATTAACATTAAGGAACAGTGTGTGGCATTTGGGATGTGTCAGGACTTATGGTACATCCCTGCCCATGAGATAGCCACATCACTCGTACCAGACACATCGTCATTCACAACCAAGGAGAAAAAGTCTGTGTGGGGCACCTGGCAAACTTTAGAACACATTACCAGCATTGTGAGAAGCCCCAGAGGTGGTGTCACCGGAGGAACGTGCAGTCTCAGAGAGCTTCACCATGCTACTCTACAATCCAACCAGCAGTAACATGGACATTGATGAGAGCTGTTTCAAGATGTTGACTGATAAAGGTGTAGCAGATTCCTCCCCCCAAAGCTGCTCCTCCACATCACATGGACCTAGCAGTGTTGGGGGTCACCACTCCCAGTAGCCCCCAGAATGTTATCAATGCCGTCCATCACCTGTAGACTCCAACCATCCCCAGGGCGACACGACATAACTCAGCCAGGTAGTTGAATAACTGACAGAGACTTGGGAACACAGTTATAGCTTACTGCCTCAATACACACATTCACTTCTCACATACACACTCATGCTCTTAATATTTCTAAACCATAACAGATTAATGATTAGATTTTTTATATTTTTCTCAAACGAGCGCAGGTAAGTGACAAACAGGGCAACTGAGAAATGCTCCTGAAAATACACGGATATACAGAAAAAAAACGTATTTCTGAAACACGAATACTATGTGACGTGAGACTGTAACAATATGTAAAGTTACGTGACCACCTCGTTAGTGCATCAGTTTACTGCTGTACTGTGTTACACCTCAGCCAAGGCAGACCAAGTGAGTGCCCATGACAGTTTTGCTTAAGATGGGACAGAAAATTTTCAGTCTTGTGATCCTAAACCAAAGTGACAATCATCTACACTACCTCATGGGGGGGGGGAGTCTTCCTTGTGTGGGGGAGGTGGCTGAGTCTTCCTTGTGTGGGGGAGGTGGCTGAGTCTTCCTTGTGTGGGGGAGGTGGCTGAGTCTTCCTTGTGTGGGGGAGGTGGCTGAGTCTTCCTTGTGTGGGGGAGGTGGCTGAGTCTTCCTTGTGTGGGGGAGGTGTTTACATTACACAATTATTACACACCTTGTACAAATAGTCAAGGCCCAGTAATTGTTTTCCTCCAATAAATATTTTTCTATAGACTATTTTATTAATTCCTCTAACCTTGTTTATTTTATGCACAGAGTTTTCATCACAAGTTAACTGCTATGGTACTGTAAAGAATAAGTTAATGCAAGGTTAAGTTAATTCCCTATTGAATATCTTATCAACACTCAAGAACCTTTAAGTGTCTTTTATGAGTTAGTTATATATACAATAATAAAAACATGAACTTAACTCCATTAATAAAAGTAATCTCAATATTTTTACCTACGAAATTTTACCATTAATCTTCAAACAGCAGCTATAGGGACGGGGGCCATTATGAGTGGACGCTATGGGTTGATTGTCTTCTGTTTCTGTATGTGTGGGGGAGTGGGGGAGGCAAGGGGGAGTGGGGGAGGCAAGGGGGAAGGGGAGTGGGAGGAAGGGGGGAGTGGGGAATCCTGAGTCACTGATTAAGGGTTAAGTAAATACCTTGACTCTATATACACAACTACTGTATCAACACAACCTCTTTGACGTACCAGATGGCCTTCAGCAAGTAGTGGTCGGTGAAGCAGAAGACCGGGGCCGCGAGGGAGGCCGTGATTAGGCTCAGCTGTATGGCCGTGTTGACCTTACTCAGGGTCGTGGGGGCGAGCTTGGCCGTGGCGTGGGTCGCGTCGAAGTACCGCGTCACCGTTCGCTGTTGGAATATTAGTCATGTTTAATATTTAATACAGGGATTTGGTTTTTTTAACTCGAGAACCATAAACGATTATTATATTTTACGACGAGCAATAAACGGGAAAATAAACTCAGTAGGTATAACGGGTGACCATCGAGAAGATGATACAGCATACTTCCTCATAATGTTATAATCATATTGAATATTATTGGTAACCTAACCTAACCTGACCTAAAGTGACCTAACCTAACTTAACCTGACCTAAAGTGACCTGACCTGACTTACTCAACCCTAACCTAATACCCCGATAGTGTCAGGGTTAAGTATCCTTATTTAATCTAATCCAGTCTAACTTAACACCCCAGGTTGGAGTAAGGTGTTAACTCATCGGGTGGACTAAACTCGGGTGCTAATTCTCGTGTGGCGTAAAATCATATTGTGTGCCGACGTAAATCACTGGTAAACAAAGGTAAAGAGACGAACTAACAGGCGGCGGGAGACTCTTGTAGCGGACATAAGAAGCTCCTCCGATGATCAACACGTCACGGTAGATGATGAGGCCCGTCAGTGGTACTGCAAGTGGTAGAGAGAAACATCACCAGAATTAGACACTGAGTCACCAGCAGCCACAGACTGTACTTCACCTCCACCTCTTACTGCTATCATTATGTATCTTACTTACTGTATTTAATAGCATATAAGAAGCAGGTTTTATCCCTAAAATATGGCTACAACACCATCCTGTGTCCTATATGTGAAGCTGTTGGCTCCAGATATAACCTTGGTCTGAACACTCACGGGCCAGCTGGGATGTTGCCTCTGTCTACACCCAGTGATGAAGCTCCCTCACGCCGCCCCTCTCCTACACCCAGTGATGAAGCTCCCTCACGCCGCCCCTCTCCTACACCCAGTGATGAAGCTCCCTCACGCCGCCCCTCTCCTACACCCAGTGATGAAGCCCCTCACGCCTCCTACACCCAGTGATGAAGCTCCCTCACGCCTCTCCTACACCCAGTGATGGCTCCCTCACGCCCTCTCCTACACCCAGTGATGAAGCTCCCTCACGCCGCCCCTCTCCTACACCCAGTGATGAAGCTCCCTCACGCCGCCCCTCTCCTACACCCAGTGATGAAGCTCCCTCACGCCGCCCCTCTCCTACACCCAGTGATGAAGCTCCCTCACGCCGCCCCTCTCCTACACCTTATGATAACTTTTCTTCACATTGTGTGTGTACAGTGTGATGGGAACGAGGTAGTCAGGTGGTTCAAGGAGGGAGTTATTCACCATGTTTATTCTTTCTTCATCTTACATGTGTTGTGTTATGTTTGTTGTGATACAGTGTAGGTTATATAGTGTATTGCTGTATTATAAATTATGTATTATTTGTGTCAGTGCTTACATCCTTGTAGTGAGTAATAAACAACCTGGCAACTGTGAGGTTAGTTGGCAGGTGTACCAGTCACTGACCCCCTCCAGCCTCTTGACCTGAGCTGTGTACACCTATCAAGTGTTTTGTGTTACTGAGTGGTCACCTCACAGCTTAGTTTACTTTGTCTATATGGGTAAGGAATATAATTATAATGTATACCGTGACAGTTCGCACTTATTCCACGTGTAACATGACAGGTTCTTGTCTCTTTGTCCCTGGTGTTGTTTCTCAGTTGTGGTTGATGTTCACCTTTCTGTGTACAGTATATATATATGTTTACTACTTAATATACTACGGCAGTTACTTGTGAATATTTCCGTTTATCTTTCCCAGTGGCACATCATAGACGAGTACTGTGCTGTTGTGTATACTGTACCTAGCTGAAACATAAATAAATTAATAAATAAAGTTATGTACATCCACCTAAAATTATGAGTTGATAAAGAACCATAACATAGCAGACAGCCACTGGTAGCACAAGGGGTAGCGGGGTGAAGATATGCCACCAGCGATGTTAACAGATGCAAATGAAAAGAAAATTATCGATAAATCTTCATCTGAGTCATAAACAATCTAGGGGTGAAGCAGGCAAGGTTGTTGTTACTAAGTTATTATACATGAGTCCAGCCAAAGACCTTGTAATTAATCAAACAAGCAATTATTGTAATATTAAAGCTAGTGTACTGATGATAATAATCCAAGACTACTGTACTAGTGTCTAGACAGCACCTAACTCTTCAGAGGTAAGCAGTAAATATTTCTGAACCTTCACAAGCACATATAACAGTCTCCATTTATGCTTTACATTGTTTGCTTTATGTCTGCTTTATTTTCTTGCTTGACAGTGTGTACAACAGCTAGATGGGAGTGTTGTGGGTGGTTCTTAGCCCAGAATTTGTTATATTATTAAGGAATTAATTACTTCAGTAACTCACGACTTTTTCACAGTTCCATTATGTGTCAGTTGCCAAGGAATACCTGTACAACATACTCACAGGGTATAATGCCAACATACTCACATGGTATAAGGCCAACATACAACATACTCACATGGTATAAGGCCAACATACAACATACTCACATGGTATAAGGCCAACATAGGTGAGAGAGAGGAACAGGAGAGCCACAAGAACTTTATCAGCCAGAGGGTCCAGAAAACTCCCCAAGTTAGAGGCTTGTCCAGGGAAGGTCCGGGCGATCCAACCATCAAGCTGTGGACAGACAACAATTAAGCTGTGGGCAGACAACAATTAAGCTGTGGGCAGACAACAATGAATCATTCTCATCATTAATTTCCTCACTGGAATGATTATTTTACCAGAAGAATATAATTAAAAGATACAATTCTGGAGGGAAGCATCTGGAGTCCAATTCACTATGTAATTATTGTGAGGAGGTGGAATGAGGGTGGATGTGTGATGTGACACTGTGAGAGGAGGTCCTGTTGAGAGTTAAGAGAGTGGCTGAGTACTGAGTGTTGGTGAAGCTTTGAGTAGAGGCAGACTGAGATGGTTGAGGCAAGTGGAGAGAGGATGCAGGAGTCTAGCCAAGAATATTTGCTGCAAATCGGTACTGCAATTCGGTTCATTTATCTGATGGTGAGTTTATTTAAGCATTACAGGATTTATTCCACCATTCTGAACAGCACCATGGCCCAGACACATAAGGTTTCCCACACTCTAGTTTCCTCTCGTACTAACACTGGAGAGACCAACGACTCGAACGTCTAATAAACGGTAAAAATAAGTCCATAAATAAAATAAACAATCAAGTGTTGAGTTTCATCGAGGGAACATACCAAGTCAGTGAAGCCAGCGAGCATGAACAGTCCGAGGGCCCAGCTGTAGTTTGAGGACACGACTAAATGGACAAGGACAGGCGAGAAAGCTATGCGGCTCACACACAATAAGTTTGGCACCGTCCAGATGTTCTCACGCTGTAAAATACAAGATAAGTGTTAGGCATTACCGGAGAGGAAGACAATGGTATGTTATAACACTTCCTTATTCTTCACATTCTTCCTCCACTTTTATCATATTTCTTCCTATTTTTTATCATATTTCTTCCTATTTTCCTTCCTTATTCTTCCCTATTCTTCATACACTTTTATCACATTTTCTTCCTATTTTCCGTCTATCTGTCACCTAATTACGACTAACTCATATACTTGCTGTATTTAATCATATATGAAACTTATTTATGCTTTTTACACATCAGCCGTCATAAGTGTCCACCATTTGTAGAAATTTAATGCCATTGTGAAACCTCATTCCCAGAACTAAATTTTCCTGACCGATAAAATGTACTACAGGTTGTACCTCTCTAGTCCGGCAACCTCGGGACCTGACCGGTGCCGGACCATGGAAATTCACCCTTTTCCTGGATAGATGGTGACTTGTGCTTATGCTTGGAAGCACTAGCACCACTTTCTCTGCATCATGGTCTCTTTGAAGACATATTGAAGGGTTAAATGTCATATAGTAGCTTCTCAAATTTCGCGAGTTTTTAATTCTTAACGTATTTTATTGGAACACAAAAAAAAAAAAAAAATAAAAATTTTGACGGCGGAAACTTGAATTTCGACGGGTTTGAACGGCCCGCCAACGTGCAGACGACGTGCATAATGTGTAAACAGCGTCATTTCTCTTATGTACAAAAGATTCATTATTGTTTATTACTGAATGTCTTTTTTATTGAATTATTGTTTATGTGTGCAAAATGAGCAATACAATTCATTAATAATACGTAGAATATTAAAACACACGAGGAAATGACACAGCATTGTTTTCGTTGATTACAAAGCCAGTGACTGACTGGTTCTACATATAAAACTGAAGAAAATAAGACCCTGGCTGTAGCTGTAGTAAAATTAATATGGTTGTTTTAAGTAATGTTATTTAATGTTAATAAATGGAACAATAGAAGTAGCTAACGATAATGGTAAAGAAAAAGAGAGATCGCGTATGTAAGTGCGCACACGTGAAAACATATCGTCATTACTTTACATAAGAATATGAAAGCAACACTTATTTACTGTTCATACAGTAGAAGTCCAAAAATCCGGATGCCAGAAATCCGAACCGCCCGAGAATCCGGACTGTTTGAAAACTTAAACTTTTTAATTTGGTGGGCTTTTGTGTGCGCGCGCATGCGTGAGCGCCACAGCTGCACAGCGACAACAAGCGACCACGCGGTCGCCATTTTAAAACGAGCAATCAAACTGTGACAATGTAGGTAATATTGTGTCTCTACTCTCTCCATTTACCACATATAGCATACGTATTTACAAGCCCATAATAATGGCTCCTAAAGTAGATAAACTTCGTTGGGTGAAGAGAAAGAAGAACACATTGAAATTGAGTGACAAACTTTAAATAATTAAGAAACTAGAACGTGGTGTGAGCAATACTGATCTAATGGAAATATACGACATCGGAAAGTCTACAATTTACGATATAAAAAAGGCATAGAATAAAATTCCAGAATTCACAGCCTTGTCTCAGTATTTGCTAATGAATAGACTATCAAAATTTACCTGTTCATTTCTTCTTTATTCCGAAAATCCGGACCGACCAACCCCCGGGCAGTCCGGATTTTCGGACTTCTACTGTATATATTTTAATTAATGTTTCTGAATTTGTTTTTATTGAATTAATGTTTGTGTGTGCAAAATTAACAATACAATTTATTAATAAGACGTGGAATATTAGACACGAGACGGCTGCCGGCATTGTTTATGTTAAAGCTTACAAAACCAGTGACTGATTGGTTCTACATATAAAACTGAAGAAAATAAGACCCTGATTTTAGCTGTAGTAAAATTAATGTAAAAAAATTAATATGGTTGTTTGAAGTACCTGTAATGTTATTTAATGTTAATAAATGGAACAATATAAGTAGCTAACCATTAATGGTAAAAAAAAAAGTGAGACTGCGCGTATGTAAGTGCGCACATGTGAAAACATATCGTCATTACTCTACATAAGAATATGAAAGCAACACTTATTTACTGCTCATATATATTGAAGGGTTAAATGTTGTACTCTGTATAGACAAGCAGAGAGAGAGAGAGAGAGCAGCCGAACTGCCGGATGTAAACAAACCTTAATTTCCCGCGGCTTTTTTTTTTTAAGGGGATTAGCCCACCCGGGCATAGGTCACTGACCCACATTGGGGCCTGAGGGGCAAAAATTTAATACTCCTGTAATAATAATAATAATTCAGATAAGTAAAAAAAAAAAAAAAAAAGCTGCCTATCTACCTATTGGACAAACTAAAATCATTCCGGACCACGGGAGTTTCTGGACCACAGAATGCAGGACTAGAGAGGTACAACCTGTACAGAAAATTGTTTACTGTACAAAACCCTTATAAAAGACGTTTGTGTACTGACCTCAATAATTTCGTCGACCTTCTCCCTGACTTTTGCCCTTCTCTCCTTGAGGTCAAAGAGAAGGTCCTGACCAGCTTCTCTTATCGTTTTCTTCTCCTCCTTCACCGCCTCCCACGATGCAACACTCTGTAAACAAGGTAAGATTTGAGTTGCAGTCATCGTTGTAATTTGATAAACTATAAACTGTTTTTTCGATGATTTTTGACGTATTTTGAATGATTTTGTCCTTCATTCTACCGGGAATCACTAGTTTTTGAGATACGCCCCCTCCCCCCCCCCTTATCCAACAGTAATAGGGGACCCCCAGTGGGAACCCGGGGTTTTGGGTCGAGGAAATCACAAAAAGTGATCATCAACCAACATAAAAGTCCAAAACACATCAAAAACCATCAGAAAAACAACTGGATTGGATGTCTAACCTTACCTAATCTATTTTTGTTTTTTACAGGGATTAGTCCACCCGGGCACAGGTCATCTACCCACAACGGAGCCCGGGGGCGACAAGGTTGGAGTAAAAATAAATTAAAAATAGAAAAGAAAAAAGTGATACTGTATTAATCTACACCACGAAGATGCCGGAAAACCATCTTTTTAAAGTGAGACAGATTGTAAGAGCCTGGAAACACAGAAGAAGGCAGAGCATTCCACAGTTTGGCTGTGTGAGGAAAGAAGGAGGTACTGTAACGGGTTATTATAGTGTGACCGACATCCACACAGAAATGGTGTGCACCGCGGGCAAGACTAGTGTTAAGGGCCCACGGCCTTGCCGGCGGTACACAGGATGCCAAATCCACTGAACATTGCCCGTTAAAGTACCTGTAAAAGAGAGAGAGTGAAGCAACATTGTGGCGAAGAGAAAGGGGAGAGAAATTGTCGACTAAAGGAGGAGAGTTAATAAGCCTTTGATTCCACCCTATCTAACAGTTGAAGAGCCACCCCAGATATGAGAGCAGTACTCCAAGTTAGGACGAATGAATCCCTTATAAACTTGAACATATTTAGAGGAAATGTAAAAGGAATTATCTTATGAGGAAACACTAAGGAAATTACAGTTACCGACGTTAAGGATCTGGTCTGTCTCTGTCTCTCACACCACCTTAAAGTTCTCTTGGGGTGAGATAAACAACTATCTCTCCTGTAGGTGTATAATTCTCCTCCCTCACTGATATAAGAGTGAGAGAAATGACATAAAGGAGAAGAGAGACGATCAGTAACCAATGTCTTTCTATGGTCTGTTTTTAGCGGCCATGATGATGAATATAACTCAAAACTTGTGTAGATTATCCCTCTTGTTTTTCTCCGTTGTTGGATGGTTCGGTGGAGGTTGTGGCGGAGGAGGTGATGAGTAAATGGTTCGTTAATGAGGAGTGTTGTTAGAGCAGACGATATCATGTGAGCCGCCATGTCTCCACCAGGCTCTAGGGATCAATGACCTAAATTAACAAACATTTATCAATTATCCTTTAAATATATTAATTAAATCACTTAAATTATAGTAAATCATTTAATTTAATTTATTAGATATATAAAATAATCAAATATTTAATTAATAAATCATAAATACGATCATAATTTTACATACTTATTCCCTTATGTTATTGAGGCGTCCGCGAGCTTAAGATAAATTCAGACTAATATACAAATTATTATACCCACACCACCACAATTATCTTTATAAAATTAATATAATATTCTAATTCATTTATAAACATTAATTTAAATAGGATTGTAGTTATTAATGCTAGTAATAGGTATTTTTAGTTATGTTTGACCCAGCAGTATGTAAACAGATGATGGCTAGTGTCAGTGGTCTTGCCTCTATATGTAGTAACCTTTCTTCTATTACCTCTAAATAAACGACAAATATCCCTAACATCAGTATGGAGTAAAAAAAATAAGGAAATGAGAGTTAATTTACTTCCTAGAGAGATATAAAAACGGAAATACGCGAAGTAACGGAATTTCATGGTCAGACAAGATGTGTTGACTTGGAGTAAATTTATTTTATTATCTAAATTATCACAAAAAAATCAGATAAAAACAATTAATTGACCAATACAAGACACTGAAGAAGGATAAATAAATATAAAAATTAATTATGGCGCAGTGTTTGGTGTAAAAGTGTAAAATAACCAGATTGTTAATGGAAATAGTATCTGGCATCTAGTGTGGTAGTGCAAGGTGTCAGATTGTGGTAGCAGTGTGGAGGCTAGACGTCAGACCAGCTGTGTAAGGCTACCTGTACACACCTGCTACACACCTGCTGACCCTCTCTCATTCATCATGGGTGCTCCGGATGTACAACTGGTAAGTCTTTCCATTAAATATTCTTAAACGACGCTAAGGAACCTGTGTATGTGTGTGTGTTTGTGCAATACTTAGGAATTTATTTTTTACTTTCACTAATTTTTTTCGTTATGGTGTTACAGAGCTGCGTTACGTAATACACTGTACGTAGTTTAGTGTGTGTAGTGTACTGTATTAGTGTAGTGTGCTGTATGTGTGTACTGTATTGTGTGTGTGTAGTGAACTGTATGTGTGTAGTGTGCTGTATGTGTGTACTGTATTGTGTGTGTGTAGTGAACTGTATGTGTGTAGTGTAATGTATGTGTATTGTACTGTATTTGTGTGTACTTTACTGTGTGTGTACTGTATTTGTGTGTACTTTACTGTGTGTGTACTTTACTGTGTGTGTACCTTGCTGTATGTGTACCTTACTGTGTGTGTACTTTACTGTGTGTGTACTTTACTGTGTGTGTACCTTACTGTATGTGTACCTTACTGTGTGTGTACTTTACTGTGTGTACCTTGCTGTATGTGTACCTTACTGTGTGTGTACTTTACTGTGTGTACCTTGCTGTATGTGTACCTTACTGTGTGTGTACTTTACTGTGTGTGTACTTTACTGTGTGTGTGTGTACCTTGCTGTATGTGTACCTTACTGTGTGTGTACTTTACTGTGTGTGTGTGCTGTGTGTGTGCTACTGTGTGTGTGCCTTGTGTGTGCCTTGCTGTATGTGTGCCTTACTGTGTGTGTGCCTTACTGTGTGTGCTTTGCTGTGTGTACTTTACTGTGTGTGTGTACCTTGCTGTATGTGTGCCTGTGTGTGTGCTTTTGGTAGTAGTATTACCTTGCTGTATGTGTACCTTACTGTGTATGTACTTTACTGTGTGTGGACTTTACTGTGTGTGTACCTTGCTGTATGTGTACCTTACTGTGTATGTACTTTACTGTGTGTGGACTTTACTGTGTGTGTACCTTGCTGTATGTGTACCATACTGTGTGTGTACTTTACTGTGTGTACCTTGCTGTATGTGTACCTTACTGTGTGTGTACTTTACTGTGTGTGTACTTTACTGTGAGATAGATAGATTAGGAAATATAGATAAATAGAAAATAACCTAACCAAACCTAACCTAACCTAACCTAACCTAACCTAACCTAACCAAACCTAACCAAACCTAACCCAACCTAACCATTGGTCCCGACAGCCGAGTGTAGGACCCGAGGAAGGGGAGGTGACCTTGTATGACCCCGATATCTTGACCAAACTGGACTGGTCAAAGGTCACCCATATGAAGAACGGGGTCACCTCTGCCACCCCGGGAGAAGGTCTGCTCGTGCGGCCGCTGTGTAAAGCTGATTATGACCGCGGTGAGTATCTGTCTGTCTGTCTGTCTGTCTTTTTAGTTGGCTGTGTGTGTGTGTGTGTGTGTGTGTGTGTGTGTGTGGTGGAGTGTAGAAAGTGTAACCCACAAAATATCGTAAGATTTTCTGAGTCACTTATTGGAATCTCTCTCACACACACACACACACACACACACACACACGAATAATTACAATCAGAGTTGTGGAAACAGGCCAATGTAGTACCCATATTCAAAAAGGGAGACAGAGCATCAGAGTCAAATTACCGGCCGATCAGTTTGACGTCAGTAGTGGGGAAATTTCTTGAATCAATTATAGCAAATAGCATCCGATCGCATCTAGAGAAAAGCAAATTAATCTACGACTCTCAACATGGGTTTACAAAGGGAAAATCTTGTCTAACAAATCAGCTGAGGTTTTTTAGGAAAGTCTTCGAGGTAGTAGATAATGACGAAAATTACGATGTTATTTACTTAAGACTTTAGCAAAGCGTTTGACAGAGTACCGCATCAGAGGCTTCTGAGAAAAGTTAAGGCTCATGGTATCGAGGGGAAAGTTTTAAATTGGATAAAATCATGGCTCACCGATAGAACGCAGAGGGTCAGCGTAGATGGTGTTAAATCTGAGTGGGGCCGTGTAACCAGTGGGGTTCCCCAGGGGTCAGTACTAGGCCCACTCTTGTTCATAATCTACATAAACGATCTAGATACTTGGATCAGCAGTGACATAAGCAAGTTTGCGGATGACACCAAAATAGGGCGGCAGATTAATTCAGGGCAGGATGCAAATGCATTACAGGAGGATCTAAATAAACTGCAGGAGTGGTCTGAAAAATGGCAAATGAAATTCAACACCAGCAAGTGCAGCGTACTTAATATTGGAAGAACAAATACTGTCAATGTATACAGCCTTAACAACATCAACCTAGAGAAGTCGACTTGTGAAAGAGACTTAGGGGTACTTAGCCCGGACCTACGGCCTAGAAACAGTGCGTTAATGTTCGAAATAAGGCAAACAGAGTATTGGGTTTTATATCTAGAAGTGTAAGTAACAAGAGTGCAGAGGTCTTATTGCAACTATATCTTGCGCTAGTCAGGCCACACCTCGATTATGCGGTTCAGTTCTGGTGCCCCTATTATAGAATGGATATAAATTCACTAGAGTCGGTGCAGCGAAGAATGACAAAAATGATTCCGGGACTTAGAAACCTTCCATATCAGGATAGGTTAAAGAAACTTAACTTGCATTCCCTAGAAAGACGAAGAGTGCTGGGAGATATGATAGAAGTATTTAAGTGGGTGAAAGGAATCAATAAAGGGGATATAGATAAAGTTCTTATAATATCCGAGCAGGATAGGACTCGGAGCAACGGATTCAAGTTGGATAAGTTTAGGTTTAGGAGGGTGATAGGAAGGAACTGGTTCACAAATAGGGTGGTGGACGAGTGGAACAAGCTTACCAACTTTGTAGTAAGTGCTGGAACGCTGGAAAGTTTTAAAAGGAGGCTAGATAGATTCATGGATGATAGAGAGTGGTAGTAACTCTCGACAGGAGCTGCCATGCACAGGTCAGCCAGCCTATTGCAGACTCCTTATTTTCTTATGTTCTTAATCTGTACCTGTAATTTAACACGAAAATCTACGTATCTGTAATTTAATTCGTAAATCTGTAGCTGTTATTTTCATCTTCACTACAGGGTTCCTACAGCTGCTGGGCCAACTGACGAAAATCGGTGACATCTCTCGAGAGAAATTTAATGGTAAGTGGCAACTGTTTGTTCTGTAAACATTGTAGCTGGGGTTAGGTTAGGTTAGGTTAGGTTAGGTTAGGTTAGGTTAGGTTAGGTTAGGTTAGGTTAGGTAAGGTTAGGCTAGGCTTGGATTAGGTTAGGTTAGGCTTGGATTAGGTTAGGCTAGGCTTGGATTGGGTTAGGTTAGGTTAGGCTAGGCTAGGCTAGGTTAGGCTAGGCTTGGATTAGGATGGTTAATCATCAGGTGATCCATAGATTAGTGTGTTAAAATTAGTTGGTCTTGGTTTAATTATGGTACCACTAATCCAATATGGCGTCTAACTTGCCCTTAGACTATATATCGTGTTTATAAAGTCCCTTGATGTTGATGTTTACAAAATCCTTTAATATTTGACATTTTAAGAATTTCTGGTTATATTATTACTGCATTTTATTAATTAAAACTTTAATAACAACACAATTACTATAACAACTGATTAGAATATAGTAAGCACCTCCGGCCAGTACTTTAATTAATCAAGATAACTGTGATTAGATAAAATTAATTAATCCCAAACGAGAGAACACAAGTCAGAATTAAGAGACGTCATATAGTTAGGCCCTACGTCACCAGTGGGTTAAATTCACTTAGACAAAGTTTATTTTTATCAATATTAAACTACGTCATGGAACTAATAATTAATTACGTATATTTAATTTACCATTTAATTGTCGAAAATGAAAGTAGTTATTTATCATTGCTTCGTTGTTCGTGGTATCTGAAGTAACATAGCTCTAGTGGTCTCTGAAATAAGGTAGGCCTAATGTTCTCTGATATAAGGTAGGACTACAAGTGACCTTTCTAAATTCCTATGACCAGTTTTTATAAGTATTTAATATTTAGAGTAAAGTTTTGTGCCTCTCTCTCTCTCTTTCTCTCTCTAGGGTCGGGTGCCTTATATACAGTAGTTCCTTCCTTAGTAAGATACCTTATTTAGACACATGTGACACCTAGACACCTGTAGGACACCTGATTACTTCCCTGCTGGGGGTGACCTTGTCCATACCCCTCCCCACACAAGGTCGAGATGCTGACATTTGGTCGTGTGTAGTGACTTTACCAACTACTAATAACTTTCTTGACAAGCAGACAGACAGACAGGCAGAAAGGCAGACAGACAGACAGACAGAAAGGCAGACAGACATACAGAGACAGACAGACAGAAAGGCAGAGATAGGCTTTGTGGGATACAGGTAGATCTAGGAAGAGGTGTGGTAGATGGATGGGGTGGGTAGGAGGGTTAGTGGGCTAGAGGTGGGTGGGATGGTGGGGTAAGGAGGTGGGCTAGGGGTGGGTGGGATGGTGGGGCGAGACGGTGGGTCTACCTGTTGGTCCAGTCTTCAAGGTGGGCCACTGTCTCTGCATGTGGCCACAAGCGGTTCCTCATCTGGCCACTGTTGGTGTTAGCGTGTGTGGCCAAAACAGGTGTGTGTGTGTGTGTGTGTCCAACATTTGTCCCACGTGCACACTATTTTCTCCTACCCATATCCAGAAACCCACCCTACCCTACCCTAACCCAACCCCCTAACCTAACCAACCTACCTAACCAACATAACCTAACCAACCTAACCTAACCTAACCACCCACCCCACCTAACCTAACCCACCCTAACCTAACCTAACCTACCCTACCCAACCCAACATAACCCAACCTAACCTAACCTAACCTAACCTAACCCACCCACCCTACCCCAACCACCCCACTCCAACCTAACTCACCCTAACCCAACCTAACCTACCCCACCCTAACCTACCCTAACCTAACCTAACCTAACCTACCCTAACCTAACATAACCCACCCTAACCTAACCAATCCTACCCTAACCTACCCCAACCTAACCCAACCCAACCTACCCCAACCTAACATAACCTACCCTAACCCAACCTAACCCAACCTAACCTACTCCCACCCCAACTCAACCCAACCTACCCTAACCTCCAACCCAACCCACCCTAACCCCTCCTAACCCAACCTAACCCAACCCTAACTCAACCCAATCTAACCCAACCTAACCCAACCCCAACCCAACCCCAACCTAATCCTAACCTAACCTAACCTAACTCAACCACAGTCTTACTTAACCTGAATCGAACATGAAAAATTCTTATCTGCAATAATGTGGGTCAAAGCTTTTCTATGTGAGACGTGTTCGGGTGGGCCCCAGTTCTATTAGGCCCCAGTTCTATTAGGCCCCACTACCCTATCCTAACCAAAATCCTTTTATGAGAGAGAGAGAGAGAGAGAGAGAGAGTTAACACACACACACACGGTCAGTGGCATGGTGGTGGTCTGCCATTTTTTCTTATCACTTGTCTTGATTACAGCTGATTACAGGTGTGAAATACCTTCTCTCCTTACCTGATAGTGGTGTGTGTGTGCGTGTGGTGGTGGTAGCGTGTGTGTGTGTGTAGAGAGAGAGAGAGAGAGAGAGAGAGAGAGAGAGAGAGAGTATCAAAAGAAAATGGAACCTCATATTACAGGGGAAACGCAACTAAACTACATTTAACATTCTTATTATTGGCGTGAGTGATTGCCTGTTTCATGGCGTTTCATTTCGTGTTTCAGCTCTTCATCCCCCGGTACAGAGTGCTTCATATCCCGTTTCAGTGCTTCATATCCCATTTCATTGCTTCATATCCCGTTTCAGTGCTTCATATCCCGTTTCAGTGCTTCATATCCCGTTTCAGTGCTTCATATCCCATTTCAGTGCTTCATATCCCATTTCAGTGCTTCATATCCTGTTTCAGTGCTTCATATCCTGTTTCAGTGCTTCATATCCTGTTTGCGGTTTATATCCTGTTTCAGTGCTTCATATCCCGTTTCTGGTTTATATCCCATTTCAGTGCTTCATACCCCATTTCAGTGCTTCATATCCTGTTTCAGTGCTTCTTATATCCTGTTTCAGTGCTTCATCCCCGGTTCAGAGTGCTTCATATCCTGTTTCAGTGCTTATATCCCATTTCAGTGCTTTATATCCCATTTCAGTGCTTCATACCCATTTCAGTGCTTCATATCCTGTTTCAGTGCTTCATATCCTGTTTCAGTGCTTCATATCCTGTTTCAGTGCTTCATATCCCATTTCAGTGCTTCATATCCCATTTCAGTGCTTCATATCCCGTTTCAGTGCTTCATATCCCGTTTCAGTGCTTCATATCCCATTTCAGTGCTTCATATCCTGTTTCAGTGCTTCATATCCTGTTTCAGTGCTTCTATATCCGTTTCAGTGCTTATCCTGTTTCAGTGCTTCATATCCTGTTTCAGTGCTTCATATCCTGTTTCAGTGCTTCATATCCCATTTCAGTGCTTCATACCCCATTTCAGTGCTTCATATCCCGTTTCAGTGCTTCATATCCCGTTTCAGTGCTTCATATCCCGTTTCAGTGCTTCATATCCCGTTTCAGTGCTTCATATCCCGTTTCAGTGCTTCTTATCCCGTTTCAGAGCGTTTCGAAGCCATGAGGAGCTGCCCAGGTCATTATTACGTTACTGTTATAGAGGATACACAGTTGGGACAGATAGTTGGCTCAGCAACCTTGGCCTGTGAGCTGAAGTTTATACGTGACTGTGCTAAGGTAGGGTGGGTGCAGGTGTGTTGTGGTGGTGGTGGTGCGTGTGTGTGTGTGTGGTACAGGTGTGTGGTGATACAAGTGTGTGTGTGTGTGTGTGTGGTACAGGTGTGTCTATGATATATAATTGACAGGTATATAATTTCACAGTTGAGTTACACACCTGATACATGTAACCAATAAGTATGTATCTATCTATTTTCAGTACGTAGTCACTTATGAAGGAGAGAGAGAGAGAGAGAGAGTCAACTGCATTAAAACTTGAACACTTGTATGCCTCTCTCCCTCCCTCCCTCAGTATTACCTTGGCTGTGAGACTTGCCGCCAGTGTGTTTACATGTTCACCCCCGTCTTGTCTGCACATTTATTATTATTATTATTATCTTTATTATCAGTAAGTATCGCAATAAACAGAGATAAGGTGATATATAGACTGAACAGCGAAAATATAATAAAATATACCATGAACTCAAAATAAAGGCTGAACAAGTGAGAAATATGAACCTTGTGAGTTTGTCTACAGTGTGGGTAACTTACCTCGTGTTGTTCTGTAGTCTCATGATGGTCTACTGTGGTGTGGTGACTTACTGTGGTTAATTAAAGGTGGGTGTTGGTGTGTGGTCATTTACCTAGGCAGTGCAGGTATACAATGTAGGCCTACCTAGACAGTGCAGGTATACAAACAATGAACCTAGACAGTACAGGTATATAACCAATGTTTTTCCTTCCTAAGCGAGGTCGGCTAGAAGATGTCGTGGTCAGTAATGAACAGAGGAAACAGCGGGTAAAAAGTATGATACTGTGAACTAAAAGAATACTGTCTTGGTTACACTCGCGCACTCTCAATATTTATCTATGTCTCTTTTCTCTCTGCTCTCTCTCAGTCTCTTCTTTCTCTCTCTCAGTTCTCTTCTCTCTCTATCTCTCTGTCTGTGTCTATTTCCCATAAGTAATAAAGTATAAGTGTCAAGTAATCAATAAACAATAAGGGATCAAAAAACACCAATAAGAGATCAATAAACACAATAAGGATCAAAAACACCAATAAGGGATCAAAAAACACCAATAAGGGGTCGAATACTAATAAGGGGTCAATAAACACCAATAAGGATTCGGAAACAAAAAACACCAATAAGGGATCGAATACTAATAAGGGATCAATAAACACCAATAAGAAAACAAAAAACACCAATAAGAGATCGAATACTAATCCCATCTCCTCCTCACACAGGATCGTCACCACCATCACCTTACTAGCAGGAGAAGTTGGATGCTACAAGATGGGATTGGATTGTAAAGATGAGATGAAACTCTTCTACAGGTCCCTCGGCTACAGTAGTGAGAAGGGCAATGATAACACGATGATTATTCGCTTCTGACAGAGACCTGGCGTTAATAAGTCACACCTCTAGGGGGGGGGTTTGTGTGTTCCTTAATGCTCTCTGATTGCAAATTAACTCATGTGATGCCTTCAAGATATGGTAGCCACTGTTCGCTTGATATATATATATCCGTTAACGTAATATTTCAGTTAACGTACATACCGGTTAACGTGACACTTCAGTTAACGTACACTTCAGTTAACGTACACTCAGTTAACGTACACATTAGTTACGCATACTTCCAGTTAACGTATAATTTGTTAGCGTACACTTCCAGTTAACGCATATACTAGTTAACGATAATTTCAGTTAACGTACACACCAGTTAGCTGCATAACACTAGTTAACGTACACTTCAGTTAGCATACATGAATTCAGTAACACATTATGTATATTAAATCAACACTGACTATAACATAATACAGTGTCATAAGTTATCTGAACCTGACCTGACCTGACCTGACCTGACCTAACCAAACCTAACCTAACCTCAAAAGTATTATAGTTGGAACCACAATAAACTAAATATTATGCTTTGTCAGTGAAGCATAATAAAACCACCATGTTTATGAGACAGGTAGTATGGTTAGGTTAGGTTAGAAGAAGAGTTAGGTTCAGATAATTTATAACCTCCAAAAAAACGAAAACAGAATAAAATAAAGAGTATAGAGACAAATGAAATATCTTTACTTGAATATTTTAGAGAGTAAACAATAATATCTCGTGTAGAACAGGAGGCAAATATCCTTTATTTATCTGAAGATGGCTACAGACATGTTGTTTCTTGGCTAGGTAAGGTTAAGTTAGTGGAGGATAATGTTAAAAGTGGTCAGATTAACATAGGACAGGTGTAAGTTAGGTGAGGTTAATATCAGAATATTTCACCTGAAGATTAGACACCCTAGTTTATTTTACCTAGATTAGACACTTAGTTTATTTTGTTCTGAAGATTAGACACCCTAGTTTATTTCCCACTCCGAAGATTAGACACCCTAGTTTATTTTACCTGGAAAGATTAGACACCCTAGTTTATTTTGTACTCCAAGATCAGACAATTCTAGTTTATTTTTAACGGAAGATTAGACAATCTTTAGTTTATTTTTAATTTTATTTTAGATTAGACAATTCTAGTTTATTTTACCTGAAGATTAGACACTTAGTTTATTTTACCTGAAGATTAGACAATTCTAGTTTATTTTACTCGAAGATTAGACACTTAGTTTATTTTACCTTGAAGATTAGACAATTCTAGTTTATTTTACCTTGATGATTAGACACCCTAGTTTATTTACCTGAAGATTAGACACTTAGTTTATTTTACCTTGAAGATTAGACACCCTAGTTTATTTTACCTGAAGATCAGGACAATTTAGTTTATTTTGCATTCTGAAGATTAGACAACTTAGTTTATTTTACCTGATGATTAGACAATCTCTAGTTTACCTTTACCTTGAAGATTAGACAATTCTAGTTTATTTTACCTGATGATTAGATTTACACTCAGGTTTATTTTACCTGGAAGATTAGACACCTCTAGTTTATTTTTACTCAGCATTAGACTAATTTAGTTTAGTTTTAATTTTAAAGATTAGACACACTTAGTTTATTTTACCTGAAGATTAGACACCCTAGTTTATTTTTAATTTTGATGATTAGACACTTAGTTTATTTTTACCTGAAGATTAGACACCCTTAGTTTATTTTACCTGGTTAGATTAGGACACCTTAGTTTATTTTACCTGAAGATTAGATAACTCTAGTTTATTTTTACTGAAGATTAGACAATTTAGTTTATTTTACCTGAAGATTAGACACCTAGTTTATTTTACTCCTACATTAGACACTTAGTTTATTTTCCTTACCTGAAGATTAGATTAATAATTCTAGTTTATTTTCTTAATTTGAGTTTAATACCCAAGTTTATTTTTATCTGAAGATTAGACAATTCTAGTTTATTTCACCTTGAAGCTTAGATAATTCAAGTTTATTTTAATTTTGAAGATTAGACAATTCTAGTTTATTTCATCTTGGAAGATTAGACACAATTCTAGTTTGCTTCACCTGAAGATTAGGATGAATCTTTAGTTTATTTTACCTGAAGATTAGACAATTCTAGTTTATTTCCTTACCTGGAAGATTGTATAAATTCCTAGTTTATTTTTATTCCTGAAGATTAGACAATTTTTAGTTTATTTCACTTGGAAGATTAGACATCTTTGAAGTTTATTTTTAATTCTGAAGATTAGATTACACCAGTTTATTTCTACCTGAAGATTAGACACCCTAGTTTATTTTACTCTGAAGATTAGATGTCAATACCAGTTTATTTTGCACCTGAAGATTAGACACCCTAGTTTATTTTACTCTGAAGATTAGACACCCTTAGTTTATTTCTACTTGAAGATTAGACACCCTAGTTTATTTCCTACCTTGAAGATTATTACTAACAGTTTATTTCACCTGAAGATTAGACACCTAGTTTATTTTCACCTGAAGATTAGACACACTAAAGTTTATTTCAATTTGAAGATTAGGACACTTAGTTTATTTTACCTGAAGATTATGGACAATTCTAGTTTATTTCACCTGAAGATTAGACACAATTCAGTTGTTATTTTTAACGGAAGATTAGACACCCTTAGTTTATTTTTACCGAAGATTAGACACCCTAGTTTATTTCAATTGAAGATTAGACACACCAGTTTATTTTACCTGAAGATTAGACAATTCTAGTTTATTTTACTTGAAGATTAGATACCACCAGTTTATTTCTAACGGAAGATTAGACACCCTAGTTTATTTTACCTGATGATTAGACACCCTAGTTTATTTCTCACTCAGTTGATTAGACACCCTAGTTTATTTCTACCTGAAGATTAGACACACCCTAGTTTATTTCTACCTGAAGATTAGGATAATTTAGTTTATTTCTTACCTGGAAGATTAGACACCTAGTTTATTTCACTTGAAGATTAGATTAATCTAGTTTATTTTTACCTGAAGCTTAGACACACCCTAGTTTATTTCACCTGAAGATTAGACAATCTTCAGTTTATTTCAATTTGAAGATTAGACACCCTAGTTTATTTTACCTGAAGCTTAGACACCCTAGTTTATTTCACCTGAAGATTAGACACCCTAGTTTATTTTACCTGAAGATTAGACACACCAGTTTATTTCAATTGAAGATTATCAATTCTTAGTTTATTTTACTCAAAGATTAGACACCCTAGCTTGCTTCACATTGAAGATTAGACACCCTAGTTTATTTCCTCACTCTGAAGATTAGATTAATACCAGTTTATTTCACCTGAAGATTAGACACCCTAGTTTATTTTACTCTGGAAGATTAGACACCCTAGTTTATTTCACCTTGAAGATTAGACACACCAGTTTATTTTACCTGGAAGATTGTATTACCTAGTTTATTTTACCTGAAGATTAGACACACCAGTTTATTTCAATTCTTGAAGATTAGACAATTTAGTTTATTTTTACCTGAAGATTGTGACACCTTAGTTTATTTTACCTTGATGATTAGACACTTCTAGTTTATTTACTCTGAAGATTAGACACACCAGTTTATTTTTACCTGAAGCATTGTATTAATCTTCTAGTTTATTTTAATTCTGAAGATTAGACACACCTGTAGTTTATTTTACCTGGAAGATTAGACACCCTAGTTTATTTTAATTTTGAAGATTAGACACTTAGTTTATTTTACCTGACGATTAGACACCCTAGTTTATTTTCCATCTGAAGATTAGATTACACCAGTTTATTTTAATTCGAAGATTAGACACCCTATTTATTTCAATCTAAAGATTAGACACACACCTGAAGTTTATTTTACCTGATGATTAGACAATCTTTAGTTTATTTTACCTGAAGATTAGACACACCAGTTTATTTTACCTGATGATTAGACACCCTAGTTTATTTTACCTGAAGATTAGACACACCAGCTTATTTTACCTGAAGATTAGACACCCCTAGTTTATTTTACCTGAAGATTAGACACCTCTAGTTTATTTCTTATCTTTGATGATTAGATTAATTCTAGTTTATTTTACCTGAAGATTAGACACACCAGTTTATTTTACCTGAAGATTAGATAATTTTAGTTTATTTCCCCACCTGAAGATTAGACACCCTAGTTTATTTCTACTTGAAGATTAGACACCTTAGTTTATTTTACCTGAAGATTAGACACTCAGTTTATTTCACCTGGAAGATTAGACACACTCAGTTTATTTTACCTGAAGATTAGACACCCTAGCTTTCTGCCTTTACCTGAAGATTAGACACACCAGTTTATTCTCACCTGAAGATTAGACACCTAGTTTATTT